TTAGAGCTTGCAAGAAAGGCATTTCACTGTACTTGTGCATGTGACATTAAAACTTGAAGATTGCATAAATTATGATGAACTTCACAGGGTGGTGAAAGTGCAAGGTGTTGAGCTTGATGCTTCTACCCAATAAATATCGATGGTCTTATTCTGTTTTTCTGGTGACATGATCATCGATGCTTGGCTGCCATTTGACAAATAAAAAGAATCTCGCTACTTTGTCCATAAAGTCATTATGTAGGCTATACATGCACTCTTGCCAACCGTGCTGTCTGCGCACACAATCTGCGTGCTGTTGGCTAGAGCACACGTGCCAACACTAGAGTGGGCACACTCACTATATAACACCAATTTGTTTTGTGAAGAAACCATTAGTAGAGTTGAAAATGCGATTGAAACCCATTTAACTTGTGTTTTTTATTCGGTACATGGGAATTTAACTCAACGTTTGCTTTTATGTGTAGGCCTACTATGTCACCACGCACAGGCTTTTATCTGCAACAAGTCAATTTGATGGAAACACATCTCTGGAGGGAAAATGCACATGTTTTTATGCAGATTTTAGAATATTCGCATGAAAATCTGTTGCCAATTGGATGGAAACCTAGCTAGCGTGCTACAGTGCAACTTGGCATTCTCATATAGGGCTAATGTCATCATTTTGAGGAAGGATATTGTCAGTAATGCGCAACAGCTTTAATTTGCAACATTAGCTAGGTTTCCATCCAATTTGCGACTGATTTTCATGTGAATATTTATAATTGTGCATAAAATAATATGCACATTTTCCCACCAGAGATGTGTTTTCATGAAATGGACTTATTGCGGGCTAAAAGTCTGTGCGTGATGACGTAGTGCACATACAAATAATGTTTACATTAAATTCTCATGTACAGAATAAAATATATGAGTTAAATGGGTTCCCATCACATTTTCAACTCTACTGATGGTTTTGTCTCAAAAACGTTATATAGCAAATGTGCCCACTCTGGCTGTCACGATCGTCATACACAGTGGACCAATGCGCAGCGTGATTTGCGAACATACTTATTTATTAGAGTACCACACGAACAAAACAACAAAACGATACGTCACGTCCTTGGTAACAGACACTAACCATACACGGAACAAGATCCCACAAACACTGTGGCAAAACAGGCTGCCTAAGTATGGTTCCCAATCAGAGACAACAATCAACAGCTGATTCACGTTGCCTCTGATTGAGAACCACACCGGCCAACATAGAAAACACATCAGCTAGATAAACAACCTAGAACACAGACACATAGAAACTACACACCCTGGCTCAACATAACAGAGTCCCAGAGCCTGGGCGTGACAGTACCCCCCCCAAAGGCGCAGACTGCGACCGCGCCAAACATAAACCGAACAGGGGAGGGCCGGGTGGGCATTCCTCCTCGGAGGCGGTTCCGGCTCCGGGCTTGACCACCACCCTCCAACAATTCCCCCGTAGCGCCCCTGGTCCGGTCTGGCCCCGCTGGCTGGAGCTGGACTGGACATCGGTGGAGCGGATTGCTTAGGCTCCGATGTGGAGCAGCTGACCGGTACCTGACCAGGCACCGGTGACCCAGGCACGGGCTGTGCCGGACTGACGACGTGCACCACAGGCTTGGTGCGGGGAGCAGGGACGGGCCGAACCGGGTTGACGAAGCGCACTACAGGCTTGGTGCGGGGAGCAGGAACAGGCCGGGCCGGGCTGGCGATGCGCACCATTGGCTTGGTGCGGGGAGCAGGAACAGGCCGGGACGGGCTGGCGACGCGCACCATTGGCTTGGTGCGGGGAGCAGGAACAGGCTGGGCCGGGCTGGCGACGCGCACCATTGGCTTGGTGCGGGGAGCAGGAACAGGCCGGGCCGGGCTGGCGACACGCACCATAGGCTTGGTGCGGGGAGCAGGAACAGGCCGGCCGGGCTGGCGACGCGCACCATAGGCTTGGTGCGGGGAGCAGGAACAGGCCGGGCCGGGCTGGCGACGCGCACCATTGGCTTGGTGCGGGGAGCAGGAACAGGCCGGGCCGGGCTGGCGACGCGCACCATTGGCTTGGTGCGGAGAGCAGGAACAGGCCGGGCCGGGCTGGCGACGCGCACCATAGGCTTGGTGCGAGAGGCAGGAACAGGCCGGACCGGGCTGGCGACGCGCATCACAGGCTTGGTGCGAGGGACAGGAACAGGCCGGACCGCACTGGGAACACACACCACTGGCCTTACCCGGGGATCAGGAACGGGCCGGACCGGACTGGCAACACACCTCAGTACCTCTCGCCGTGCCTCTACATTCTCCTTCCCTCTACTCGCCAATGGCTCCCGTAACCCGGTGGCCTTCTCTCCTCGTCCACTAACTCGCCCCTTATCTGCCTCCAGCAGTCCCGTCGTCCACGGTGTGAGCCCCCCCCTAAAAATGTATTGGGTTCGTCTCTCCCCCATGGCTATGGCCTCCATGGCTCTCGCCAGACTCTCCAGCCTCTGCTCCCAAGTCCAACCTCTCTCCTCCTCACGCGGCTTGACCCAGTCGAGGTGGATATCCGCTAGAGTTACCTCTGGCGTTGGCTCCTGGACACGCTACTTGACCCAGTCGAAGTGGATATCCGCTAGAGTTACCTCTGGCGTTGGCTCCTGGACACGCTGCTTGGTCCAGTTTTGGTGGGATCTTCTGTCACGATCGTCATACACAGTGGACCAATGCGCAGCATGATTTGTGAACATACTTATTTATTAGAGTACCACACGAACAAAACGATATGTGACGTCCTTGGTAACAGACACTAACCATACACGGAACAAGATCCCACAAACACTGTGGCAAAACAGGCTGCCTAAGTATGGTTCCCAATCAGAGACAACAATGAACAGCTGATTCACGTTGCCTCTGATTGAGAACCACACCGGCCAACATAGAAAACACATCAGCTAGATAAACAACCTAGAACACAGACACATAGAAACTACACACCCTGGCTCAACATAACAGAGTCCCAGAGCCAGGGCGTGACACTGGCCTTCGCATGTGCGCTCTAGCCAACTACTCAACAGTTTGCAGAGACAGTGTGGGTAGGCTACCTACATTATGAGATTATTATGGATAAGAGGGATAATATTTTTTGGGGTCAAATGGCAGTCAAGCATCAATCATCATGTCACCAGAATAAGACCCTCAATATTTATTGGAAAGGAGCATCAAGCTCATCACATGCACTTTCCTTACTACAGCTGTGATGGAAACAGGACGTTTCGGCACAATTTTATAAATGCCAACAGATAATATCGTTCATTTGACATGGTGGGATCTTTTTGTGTCAGTAACATTAATTATGCGAGAAATGGCGGTGGAAAAGCTTTTATGGGCAAATGTTGATATAATAACCATAATATCTAATTAAACTTGGAGTCAACTGATAACATATTTGGTCTTCCCACTATTACTCTTTGGGAAAGCAGTTCATTAGGTTACAGATGAAATCATTTATGATGGATTTCACAGGGTGGTGAAAGTGCATGGTGATCTTGGTGCTCCTTTCCAAAAAATATTGAGGGTCTGATTCTGGTAACATGATGATTGATGCTTGACTGCCATTTGACAGATAAAAATATTATTGCTCTTATCTATAATAATCTCATCATGTAGACTAGCCTACCTGCACTGTATCAGCGAGCTGTTGGCTAGAGCGCACGTGCCAAGACCAGAGTAGGCACATTTGCTATTTAATGCAACAGTTTTTGTGACAAAATATCAGTAGAATGTGATAACACTGAACTTTAAATGTGTATTTGGTACATGAAAAAGTACATTTTGTGTGCACTATGTCATCACATACAGATTTGTTTTATTCACAACAAGTCAGTTTGGTGGAAACATACCACTGGTGGGAAAATCTGCATATCTGTTGCCAATTGGATGGAAACCTTGCTATTCGTGCTATAAATTAACACTTTTTCCTCGATTTGTATTAGGCTAATTATCAACTCATTTTCGAGTAGGCATAATAGGTTTTCGAGTAGGCATAATTTGTTAAAGGGATCTAATATACCTTACCTCCCCCAAAACAGTCAACATGAATACTCGATCTCTAATTAATTTGGATCTTACTGAGGTGGAAATGTTAGTGCATGATTGATTAAGTTAGGCTAAACAATTATCAATAAGAATAGGCTACCTGATGTGGTTTTAAAACTATTTCCCCTAAAATTGATTTTTGGTTAAACCATTTACAATTCGTTTTAATAGGCCTATATTTTATTTTACATCAGAAGTTCGAAATTAACTTAGGGAAAACTGAGCGCATTCTTGAAAATGTAAAATGATATCCATGCTTCAACATTGAATTTAAAACAATGAGATGTTAATTAGGACTAGCCTATGTTTGTTTTTAGAGGGACAACAATTGATTAAATCGGACGTGGCATTTGTAAAATCAGGCAAACTTCCTAAAAAACACAACTCTCAAGAAATCCCACAGTATCCAAATAACATCCCAAGGAGATAAACCAGTAATCCGTGACTGTTATCAGTTACCGCTGTATCAAACTCTTTCAAGACCGTGTGTAAATGAACTTTTCAGGGCGCAAACTCCACCAGATCGAGGAGAGATCAGTCGATTTCAGCCGGTTTAATATTAATTAACTTTATCCTGAATCCTTCAGAAGCCGCGCACTGAGAGAGAGATTTCGGGCTGCTATTTGTCCGCGCGAGGCCCAGGGTGCCCTTTTGATCATTTCAGTCTCTCCTCGGTGTGCTCCTTCTGATTGGTCGAGGGAGTAAGAAGGGGAACATCTTTAATTAAGTAGATAATCTCTTGTTGGGATGAGAGTGGGTCCATTTCAGAGCCCCCCTCGAGTGTCCCGCATGAGAACCTTGGCATATACAGCCAGTGGAGTTGTGTATGTATGTAGGGTTGGTAGCCTCTCGCTATATCCTCTATGCTCCTTTAGAGAGCTGCTGAATGTGCATGCCATCTCTCTATTCTCTCTCGTCTCTTCTGTCAGGATGTTCATGCATTTGGAGGTCTGTTACTGTATCTTCATTTTGATGTCTCACATGACAACGTCTTGCTGCAGCTGGTGAGCTTCAACTATTTTGGATTCTTTGTGATTGCCTCATTGATTTAATACAACGTATGTGATAGGAAGGTCGTTAATGAAATATTGGTACATAGGCCTATTGGAATAGATAAATAATTCCATGATGTATATGGTGCAATGTTTTTCTATTTACTGATCCAATTAAAAAGTGAGTTTCTGTTTAGTTTTTTTTACCTTCCAAAATTGTTTACCAAAACGACAGCATTTGGTGTAGGACTGGGAAACAGTTAGGCTTCTTGATTTTCCTTTATGAGAATGTAGGAATGGACAATTATGAAATTATTGTAACTTGATATTTTCCTGTAATTCTTGTATATTACATATTTATTACTTATGAATATACTTTCATCCCACTCTATTTTTTTAAAAGTTTTTGTGTATGAGAGCATGGATGAGTAACAATGCATTTTGGCAATATTAATTCAAACTTATGTATCTTTAACGTATCTTTATTTGAGGTATTTTGAATATAACATCTCCAAGAAATGTCACTTTACCGCCATGGTTATTGACCAGCAGGAGGGGGTTTCATTCATTTGGGAGACAATGATTTAGATTGATGATTGTTTAGTACCATGTTATTACATTTTATTAAAGATAGCTATCTAATGAGGGAGCAAAGAAATTCCTGTCCTTACTGAAGGACACTTAATTTCTGAGAGTATGCTAATAAATGCTTCAGTACTATGTTATTAAATGTTATTAAAGATAACTAATGAGAGATGTTAAGTGAAGGCGCTGTGGAATTCCTGCCTTTGCTGAAAGACAACTCTTAATTCCCAGAGTTAATAAGCTGTCTCCTCTTCCAGGTCAGTGAATAATTTCCTGATGACTGGACCTAAGGTAAGCCAACATTCTTTTAATCTTCTGGCCAGATCCCTCTTTCCTTTCCCTTCTTCCCCATCCCCAAAAAAAGAGAGCAAAGACCCCCCCGTAAGGATCTCTTATTGCTGTCTGCATATGTTACTCTCTTTCTCCCTCTGTTTCTAAATAGACTGCATTTCTCCACATTGAGATGGTCATGGTTACTTATAAATATAAATATGTCCTTTCATCATTGATTTGTTGTAACAACAGCAAGGGTAGGCCTTAGCAGTGTTATGGTGGCCTTTTAGGTTCCTATCTACGGCTCTTGACGCTATTAAGGCTGAGAAGCTTTGAATGTCCATGGGTTGAGATAGTATAGGCATGGAGAGTTATTTGTTCAGTGTGTATAGAGGCAACCTGGTCTCAGAACAATTCTTATTATTCTGTACGTAAATCCGAGATGCTCATTTAGTATGAGATGTTATGTTTTGTATGGTATGTGTTCATTTGTATACAATCTGTATACAATTCATATTATATATGTTACGAATTTGCAAAACCTATGATATGTTACAAGTTCAAGCTAGGTGGCTACGTGGCTAACATTAGCAAGCCGGCTAACGTTAGCTAGGCTAGGGGTTAGGGTTAGGGTTAAGGTTAGGGTTAAGTTTAGGAGTTAGGTTAAAGGGTTAGGGTTAGGGGAAGCGTTAGCTAAAACGGTTAAGGTTAGGGTTAGGGTTAGGGGAAGGGTTAGCTAACATGCTAAGTAGTTGCAATGTAGCTAAAAACTAGTAAGTAGTTGAAAAGTTGTTAATTACCTAAAATACTAAAGTTGTCCGTGATGACATTCGCAACCTTTGGGTTGCTAGATGTTCGCATTATACGCCCGACCAACCTTTCGTTTTTTCCTTAAGTAACCATCTGTCTCCCGAGTGGCGCAGTGGTCTAAGGCACTGCATCACAGTGCTAGCTGTGCCACTAGAGATCCTGGTCCGAATCCAGGCTCTGTCGTAGCCGGCCGTGACCGGGAGACCCATGGGGCGGCGCACAATTGGCCCAGGGTAGGGGAGGGAATGGCCGGCAGGGATTTAGCTCAGTTGGTAGACCATGGCGTTTGCAACGCCAGGGTTGTGGGTTCGATTCCCATGGGGGGCCAGTATAACATTTTTTAAAAATGATGTATGCACTCACTAACTGTAAGTCGCTCTGGATAAGAGCGTCTGCTAAATGACTAAAATGTAAATGTAATATGTCTTATGTAACCAAACCAAACGTAACATATCATACTAATTTGAGTGTCCCAGATTTACATGTACTATTTTTTTTTTTTGTCATTTAGCAGACGCTCTTATCCAGAGTGACTTACAGTTAGTGAGTGCGTACATTATATATATATATTTTTTCAAACTGGCCCCCCGTGGGAATCGAACCCACAACCCTGGCGTTGCAAACGCCATTCTCTACCAACTGAGCTACTATGTTACGTCTAGTCTATGAGACCAGGCTGGATCTATCAACCCAGGGACCTCTGGATCTAGACCAGGGACAGTAGAGGTCCCTGGGTTGATAGATCTAGACTAGAGGCAGTAGAGGTCCCTGGGTTGACAGATATAGACTAGACTAGAGCCAGTAGAGGTTCCTGGGTTGATATATATAGACTAGAGGCAGTAGAGGTTCCTGGGTTGACAGATCTAGTCTAGAGGTAGTAGAGGTCCCTGAGTTGACAGATATAGACTAGACTAGAGACAGTAGAGGTCCCTGGGTTGATAGATCTAGACTAGACTAGAGGCAGTAGAGGTCCCTGGGTTGACAGATATAGACTAGACTAGAGACAGTAGAGGTCCCTGGGTTGACAGATATAGACTAGACTAGAGACAGTAGAGGTTCCTGGGTTGACAGATATAGACTAGAGGTAGTAGAGGTCCCTGAGTTGACAGATATAGACTAGACTAGAGACAGTAGAGGTCCCTGGGTTGATAGATCTAGACTAGAGGCAGTAGAGGTCCCTGGGTTGATAGATCTAGACTAGAGGTAGTAGAGGTCCCTGGGTTGATAGATCTAGACTAGACTAGAGAAAGTAGAGGTCCCTGGGTTGATAGATCTAGACTAGACTAGAGGCAGTAGAGGTCCCTGGGTTGACAGATCTAGACTAGAGGAAGTAGAGGTCCCTGGGTTGATAGATCTAGACTAGACTAGAGGCAGTAGAGGTCCCTGGGTTGACAGATCTAGACTAGAGGAAGTAGAGGTCCCTGGGTTGATAGATCCAGACTAGACTAGAGACATTAGAGGTCCCTGGGTTGATAGATATAGACTAGAGGCAGTAGAGGTCCCTGGGTTGACAGATCTAGACTAGACTAGAGACAGTAGAGGTCCCTGGGTTGATATATATAGACTAGAGGCAGTAGAGGTTCCTGGGTTGACAGATCTAGTCTAGAGGTAGGAGAGGTCCCTGAGTTGACAGATATAGACTAGACTAGAGACAGTAGAGGTCCCTGGGTTGATAGATCTAGACTAGAGGCAGTAGAGGTCCCTGGGTTGATAGATCTAGACTAGAGGCAGTAGAGGTCCCTAGGTTGATAGATCTATACTAGACTAGAGGCAGTAGAGGTCCCTGGGTTGATATATATAGACTAGAGACAGTAGAGGTCCCTGGGTTGACAGATCTAGTCTAGAGGTAGTAGAGGTCCCTGGGTTGACAGATTTAGACTAGAGGTAGTAGAGGTCCCTGGGTTGACAGTTATAGACTAGACTAGAGTCAGTAGAGGTCCCTGGGTTGATAGATCTACACTAGACTAGAGGCAGGAGAGGTCCCTGGGTTGATAGATCTAGACTAGAGGCAATAGAGGTCCCTGGGTTGACAGATCTAGACTAGAGACAGTAGAGGTCCTTGGGTTGACAGATATAGACTAGAGGCAATAGAGGTCCCTGGGTTGACAGATATAGACTAGAGGCAATAGAGGTCCCTGGGTTGACAGATATAGACTAGAGGCAGTAGAGGTCCCTGGGTAGATATATCTAGATTAGACTAGAGGGGGAGAGGCATTAGATATATCTGTGTGTTGTGTGTGAATAAACTAGAGGCAGTAGTGGCAGGAAAGGCAGTGTTGGCCTGTGCAGTACTGTGGTGTGGTGGGTGGTCATCATTAGCCCACCAGACCCCAGTGAGAAGCAGAGAGGTGGTGGCTCAGTCTCTCCACATGCCACTTGAGACACATCATTCACACAGTCTCAACAAGGACCAGAGAGCCGGGCGAACAAGCCAAGTGGACATAGTGAACTTGTAAAGAATAGGGCTTGGGATTCCAACTCACTCAGGGGTCGTGAAACAGGTTTAAAAAGTTGAATTAATATTGTATTAAGACTTTTCCCACCGTCTATTTCTTTTGCTAACCGAAGCTAATGTTTTATTAATATTGTTAAAAAAAAATCAGTTATACACTAGGACTTTCGGGGTTATGGAACTAAATGTCCCTAGAATTTGTTGCTTCCCATGGTCATGATTGAACCTATTCCGTTTTTAGTGACCTGATGATATACTCCTCTGTGTTCCTCAAGGCGTACCTGATTTACTCCAGCAGCGTAGCGGCTGGGGCTCAGAGCGGCATCGAGGAGTGCAAGTACCAGTTTGCCTGGGACCGATGGAACTGCCCTGAGAGAGCCCTGCAGCTGTCCACACACAGAAGCCTCCGCAGCGGTAAGAGCCAATCAACCAGGCTCCATTGGAATTTTTGAATTCCAATTAGGAAGTTTGTAAAATCTTTGAATTCTAATTCAGATTTTTTTTTCTTCTGTTGTGCTGCCCAAATTACACCCTATTTTGCTGGGTTTGGAACACATGGTTTGGGTCACAGGCTAGAGGACACTCTATTCCCCATATAGTGCACTACTTTTGACTAGAGCTAAATATGACACCTAATTCTCCATATAGTGTACTATTTTTGACCAGACGAAATGTAAGGCACTATATGGTCAAAAGTAGTGAGGAACTGTATATGCTGACTAGGGAATCATTTGATCTGCCCTTTAATAACAGACCAGCTTTAAGTCACAGATAGGCCCATCCAGATCACAGAGGAAGGACTCTTTCTAGAACGTGAGATGGCATTTGTTTGATTAGTCAGGAGATTCATCAGTCAAAAGGATCGTTACAGCAACCCAATGGCCGCAATGGTCGCCTCGCCCAAAACAACAGCAACCCCACGGCCGCCACGGTCATCTCACCCAAATCAACAGCAAGCTCCACGGTCACCCTGGCTAAAACAACAGCAACCCCATGGCCGCCCTGGCCAAAACAACGCTACAAATCCAATTCACAACATCCTACTGAGCCACCCGTTGACGGGACCCTGCTCAGGGGCCTTGCGAAAATATGGCACGCAAATGGCAGTTAGAGCCAATGTCTTAATTACCAGGAGAGATAGGAGATAAAGGATACTGTGGAGTGAGAGGCGTTGAAATAGAAGCCCCACTCTAAAGATAATGGTTAGCGGAGAGGAATGACCTCTTCAGAAGAAGGCATTCCTGAGTGCATTTTAAAATGTCTCTCTCACACACAGCGAACAGAGAGTCCTTGCCATCAGTTCAGTAATCATTGCTACTATAATATAATATAATATAATATATAATATATGTTTGTTTTCCACAGCGAACAGGGAGACAGCGTTTGTCCATGCCATCAGCTCAGCAGGGGTCATGTACACTCTGACGAGGAACTGCAGTCTGGGGGACTTTGACAACTGTGGCTGTGATGACACCAGGAATGGACAGCGGGGTAAGAGAAGATTTAAAAATCCAAACACAGATCATTACAAGACACATATAGATGAAACAGCTATGTACACACTGTGTTGCATTCATGTAAAGTGATTTGGTTGTAGGCAAAACAACAAAACAATAAAACAACAAGTATTTTTTCAAGTACCTCGGAAATAATACCCTTCCACTTTTTTTCCGTCACAAATGGTGAGCCATCCTCTCATACAGACAAACTGGTGTCTCCTGCTTGTGTCCCCAGGGGGTACAGGCTGGCAGTGGGGGGGCTGCAGTGACAACGTGGGGTTCGGTGAGACCATCTCCAAGCAGTTTGTTGACGCGCTGGAGACGGGTCAGGACGCACGGGCCGCCATGAACCTCCACAACAACGAGGCTGGACGCAAGGTACAGTATTTACTTTTACTTTACACCTTGGTGATGGAAGGGGTAAGCTATCCCTCAGCACCATACAATCAAAAAAACTTTGATGATATAGTGAAATATTATCATTATTCCAGATAGATTTAGAGCTTGGAATTCTGATTGTTCTGAAAACCCAGATCATGTTGAGATTGAATCAGTGCGATTGCCATAGGGGGGAGCTCTTGTAGTTCAAGGTGGAGGGTCAGATATTTACGTTTCCCACTTGAACCCCAACCGATCGACTGCTCAATGTAAAGTACCTTTCGAATCATTTTTTTATTTCTCAACCTGCTCAGTGAGAATTACAGCATTCAGCAAGCGTACCACCCAAGCATCCCCTTTCACATCCCCATAAGTGAGGTGCCACTTGTCCTCCAATAACCACAGTGTGTTCGCTGTACCAGAAGGGCCTATTTACCAGTTACTGAATGTCCTTTATTATGACAAGACTTAAGTTGCAGAATCTCAGGATCACTGGTGCTAGTTCTTAATTAGAGTATTAGAGGGTTAATTTGAGCCAATGGTCTTCACATTACACAACGGATTCTTTGAAACAACTTCATGCTCAGCCACACATACTTACACAACTGATTTCCTGAGACCAAATCAAACAATGAACGTCTCATCCGTATGGCGCTACGTTCTCGTCTTAAAAAGAAGTCTGAGTAATTATACATTTTTCGACACTCCTGTTTCACCTGGTATTTGCCTGGTATTTACATAATAATTATATGGCAACAATAGGTTCTGTCTGGAGTTTACACAGTATTTACTTAATTTACGTAATTTTCAGGTTATTATTATGTAATTACCGTGTTTCCAGGTGAATCATAGACTGTAGAATAAAACTTAACCAAAGTCTCTCTCCCTCCCTCCCTCCCTCCCTCCCTCCCTCCCTCCCTCCCTCCCTCCCTCCCTCCCTCCCTCCCTCCCTCCCTCCCTCCCTCCCTCCCTCCCTCCCTCCCTCCCTCCCTCTCTCTCTCTCTCTCCCTCCCTCCCTCCCTCCCTCCCTCCCTCCCTCCCTCCCTCCCTCCCTCCCTCCCTCCCTCCCTCCCTCTCTCTCTCTCTCTCTCCCTCCCTCCCTCCCTCCCTCCCTCCCTCCCTCCCTCCCTCCCTCCCTCCCTCCCTCTCTCTCTCTCTCCCTCCCTCCCTCCCTCCCTCCCTCCCTCCCTCCCTCCCTCCCTCCCTCCCTCCCTCCCTCCCTCCACTCCCTCCCTCTCCTCTCCCTCCCAGGCAGTGAAAGGGACCATGCAGAAGACGTGTAAGTGCCATGGTGTCTCTGGGTCCTGCACCACACAGACCTGCTGGTTACAGCTACCAGATTTCAGTGAGGTGGGAAACTATCTGAAGGAGAAGTACCACCGAGCCCTGAAGGTACAGTATATATTGTTTATTGTTTATATTAAACAATATTGTTTATAGGCACTCTAAAGACACTTCACATAAAATTCATTCAATCATTCATTCATTTATTTATTTATTCATTCATTCATTCATCCAAGGTGGACCTGCTCCGGGGGGCTGGGAACAGTGCAGCCAGTCGAGGTGCCATTGCTGAGACCTTCAGATCCATCTCTCGTAAAGAACTGGTCCACTTAGAGGACTCCCCAGACTTTTGCCTGGAGAACCGTACCCTGGGCCTGCCAGGCACAGAGGTCAGAGAGTGCCTGAAGAAGGGCAAGAGCCTAAACAAGTGGGAGAAGCGGAGCTGCAAGAGGCTGTGCGGGGAGTGCGGTTTAGCCGTGCAGGAGAGGAAGGCGGAGTTGGTGTCAAGTTGCAATTGTAAGTTCCACTGGTGCTGCGCGGTGAAGTGCGAGCAGTGCCGCAAGACGGTGACCAAGTACTTCTGCGTGAAGAAGGGAGGGCAGAGGGGGAAGAACGAGAGCGCCGGGAGCCGTAGGAAGAACCTGAGGCTGAGGAAGAAGCACTGAGCGGCTTACATCTTCCTCACCATCATCATCATCATCATCATCACTGGCACACGCCATGTCTTCTCACAAGCTGATCTTCATAGACTTCCTGTGTGTCCTGAAACTGTGCCCCTCTTAAATGTTTCTACAACACGCGTTCTGCTTTTATTCTAAAGACATCATTGAAAATGTATTTATTGAATAAGACTAGTATTGTTATTATCCCAATCAAATGTTTAATAGTGGGGGAGAAAATGTGTGTAAAAAAAAAGACATAATAGAGAAAGAAGGGAAACTATTAGTTGTGTAGTACTGATGGTATAAATGTATACATATATTTAAAAGTATATATTTTGTTACTTTTTCCCCCCAATTATATATATATTATTTTAAGTCATTGGGCATTTAAAGCATGTTACATACGGCCGCTCTGAATAATCGCCTTCATACTTGATAGCTTGAACAACTCTTCCTAAATGGTCAGTCCACGGCACACCTCAACAACATCTTATTTATTGTCATAAGTACCACCAATGAGTTACGGCATTTCTGATTGGTCAGTTTATCAGACATTCCATCCTGTCATGATGACTGACCAGCCCTGACCAGCCCTCCCCAGCACTGACCAGCCCTCCCCTGCCCTGACCAGCCCTCCCCTGCCATTCCCAGCCCTGCCCTCCACTCTCCAGCCCGCCCCTGCCACCCCCAGCCATGGCTTGAAGATGTATTTAATTGTAAATAAAATGAAGCACTTTGTTCTGTATATTGTTAATTTATTGCACATGTTTATCCCAAGTTGTTGCTTTATTCATAGTTGTTGTTTATTGTTGATATTTTCTATAAAACTTTTGTAATTAAAAAAGTATAATCTACAACCCCCCTATTATATTAATTTATTGAGCATGCCCATCACCCGTTTCACATCCATTCATTTCAGAAGTGTTTAATTAATTTCAGAAGTGTTGAAATCGAATGCATGATTATTTCTTATCCGCCCCCTGTGTGACATATAAATCACCAATGTTCAGCAGTGGTAGGCTACCAACACAACCTGAGTGTTGTTGTATTGTTCACTTTGGGATCCGATAACCCTCTGGGCTAAAGTAACAACAAGAGAAAACTTTTCATTATACACTTCTTTCCTTCACGCCTTTCTCTATTTCGCCTTGACAAATACCTCCCCTTTCTTTCTGCCGCTCGTCCGTCTAATCCTCAGAGAGCCTCTCCTAACGCCCTGGAGCTCAGAACTTTCTACACAGTTTAATACTAGTTTAATTAACTTTGTCCAGACAGAGTGCATGGTGGTGGGGGGGGACACGAAGAAGCTAGACAAGTTGCCCTTAAAAATCCTTAAAATCACCCACCCCGCCTCTAATTTTGTATGCTAATCTCCTTTTCACTCTACCCCTCCTTGGAGTGAGTGGTGAGTTGGGACAAGAACTGTTGGGAAAACTTGGTGGTGTTGCCTTCCTTCACCGGGAACTCACCAGTGGCTTCCTGCTGGCTGTTTCATTCCTGGGCCCCCTCGGCCTCCTCGGTTCACCTATTTGGATCCTTTCTCTACTCTAGGGCCTTCCTTTGCTCGATTTAACAATGAGCGTCGAGCTAATCAGCCCTCTCGGAAATGCGCCACTGCCGAGCCACTTAATCCCCTCTCCTCTTCCACTGGCTCAATGGACTGCCGCCTTCAAAAGGGCTTTGGGAAAAGGTTTTGCACGGATTCACACTGTTCCCTCAATACAAGTTAGTTCAAGTATTGTGCCCACAACAAGTGGTTTTGATAAACAAATGCTTGCCAGGGTGGATACCCACCCACCACCCCACCTGTGGTAGCCTAAAGAGGGTGCCAGGGCTGGGGGAAGACGGTAGCACATGGCAGCCCGACGGGGCCCTCCAGACGAGACGGGACCTGAAAGAGGAGATTAGGAGACTCTATTGAGAGTAGGGGCAGTTCATTTCTGCACCCTTTTCTTTCTACCCAATAAAGTGTCAAGGAAACACCTTGTTGACATATCTTTTACAAAATAATGATCAGAAACTCAGAGACAGAACACACCCCTCATTGAATGACCCCTGTTTGCTGGGTGGAGCTAGGGGGTGGCATGCCCAGCAGAGCAACTCTCTGTAATCACTCATCTGTGCGCATATAACAAGAATATTCGTGCAAGTCTCCCATTAACATCAATTGATTAAGTTAGGATTTGGCCCTCGAAAGAGTCACCATACATTTTATGCTGAGGTACAGTACAAGAGCTGGGTTGTATTCATTAGTGCACTCAATGGAACATTTTGTAAATGGGTTGTGTTTGTTAGGATATGCAGTGGACAACGTTTTCAAATGTTTTGCAACCGAAAATGAAAATGAACCTTTCTTATTGGAAAAGTCCAGGTAGTCCCTCCCTGTTTTAGTCCGTTTCCTTCCGTTTGGTACCTAATGAACACGGCCCTGCTGACACAGACAATGCCTGTAGAAGTGGAACTATGGGAAGAATGAAAACCCCACACAGCAGCCGACCCAACCGAACACCGACCGTCAGGCACTTCTGTGACACCATCTACCCCGTTCAGACAGAAGCGATTGTGCTCAGGGGGGAAAGATGAAAGAGGAGTGATTTAAAACATTATAATGTTCTGTTGGGGCAGCCAGGCCGAATATGTTAGAAAATAATACTATGCTTAATAACTGAACATGGGGAGCCTTTCGTTTAGATCCTCCTGGTCTTCAGTTTCACACACACACACACACACACACACACACACACACACACACACACACACACACACACACACACACACACACACACACACACACACACACACACACACACACACACACACACACACGTGCACACACACAGCTAATTCAGGAGATGTACGTTTGGTAGATTTACATTTACATTTTAGTCATTTAGCAGACGCTCTTATCCAGAGCGACTTACAGTTAGTGAATGCATACATTATTATTTTTTAATCCCTGATCATACAGTTATGAAGACTCTGGCTACTTCTGGACTAGGACCACCTCAGGGTCCTAAAGCCTAAACTGTACTGAAAAGTTGCACTGGCTGACCCTCTCAACCTTGCCTCACACTGCACCTAATTACCTAATCACATGGATGTCTGGAAGAAATACTGTCTGAAGAAATGAAGGAACTGAAGCAACATACAGGTAACTGCCAAAATAAGGGAAACACTTGAGTAAATGAGGGACAAAGTGTATTGAAAGCAGGTGCTTCCACACAGGTGTGGTTCCTGAGTTAAGTAAGCAATTACCATCCCCTCATGCTTAGGGTCATGTATAAAAATGCCAGGCAGGCCATTATTTTGGCTACCATGGCTATGCCCCCATAGGATGATAATGCCCCCATCCACAGGGCACGAGTGGTCACTGAATGGTTTGATGAGCATGAAAACTATGTAAACCATATGCCATGGCCGTCTCAGTCAACCAAATTAAACCCTTATTGGAGATTCTGGAGCGGCGCCTGAGACAGCGTTCACCACCATTAACAAAACACAGAATTATGGAATTTCTCGTGGAATAATGGTATCACATCCCTCCAATAGATTTCCAGACAAGGCCCAGTGCCCTACTAAGACGCTTTATGTTGGTGTTTCCTTTAATTTGGCAGTTACCGGTACATGGAAACGTTATAGTTGTGTGTGGTGTAACTTAAGTTGGGATATCATTCGGCCATGGCTCTCTCTCTCTCTCTCTCTCTCTCTCTCTCTCTCTCTCTCTCTCTCTCTCTCTCTCTCTCTCTCTCTCTCTCTCTCAAGAATGTGAAATGTCAGAGTAATAGTAGAGAGAATTATTTCTTTCATCACATTCCTAGTGGGTCAGAAGTTTACATACACTCAATTAGTATTTGGTAGCATTGCCTTTAAACTGTTTAAATCTATTTTGTGAAGTGCACCAGTCCCTCCTGCAGCAAAGCACCCCCACAGCATGATGCTGCCACCCCCGTGCTTCACGATTGGGATGGTGTTCTTCGGCTTGCAAGCATTCCCCTTTTTCCTCCAAACATAACGATGGTGATTATGGCCAAACAGTTCTATTTTTGTTTCATCAGACCAGAGGACATTTCTCCAAAAAGTACGATCTTTGTCCCCATATGCAGTTGCAAACCGTAGTCTGGCTTTTTTATGGCGGTTTTAGAGCAGTGGCTTCTTCCTTGCTGAGTGGCCTTTCAGGTTATGTCGATATAGGACTCGTTTTACTGTGGATATAGATACTTTTGTACCTGTTTCCTCCAGCATCTTCACAAGGTCCTTTGCTGTTGTTCTGGGATTGTATAGATTGTTAACAAGACATTTGTGGAGTGGTTGAAAAACAAGTTTTAATGACTCCAACATAAGTGTTTGTAAACTTCCGACTTCAACTGTATGTTTCACATGCAGAACACAGCGTGAAACACAGTTCACACACAACAGACCTCCCTCCGGAGAGTGAAGCAAACTCTGACCTCGGGGGCTGAACTTCCGCCTCCTCTCTGTCCAACACTCAGAGGGGTTAGAGTAGGGGGGCTGGTCCTGCCAGGTCCAGTTTGCTCTGAGGCATGAGCCTGAGGTGGCGGAGAGGCAGAGGTGACACTGCCGGGGAAGAGGGAGAGATTAAAGATCCACTCTCTCTCACTTCCTTTCTTTTGGGCCCTCTCCTTTTCTCCCTATACACCAAGTCACTTGGCTCTGTCATATCCTCACATGGCCTTTCCTATCATTGCTACGCTGACGATACACAACTAATCTTCTCCTTTCCCCCTTCTGATAACCAGGTGGCGAATCGCATCTCTGCATGTCTGGCAGACATATCAGTATGGATGACGGATCACCACCTCAAGCTGAACCCTGGCAAGACGGAGCTGCTCTTCCTCCCGGGGAAGGACTGCCCGTTCCATGATCTCGCCATCACGGTAGACAACTCCGCTGTGTCCTCCTCCCAGAGTGCGAAGAGCCTAGGCGTGACCCTGGACAACACCCTGTCGTTCTCCGCCAACATCAAGGCGGTGACCCGCTCC